AGATTCAGATGAAAGTTTACAAGCAGATAATAGTGATAAAGAAAATGATGATCCTCAATTAAAAAATCCAAGAAAACATCGTGAAAAGGGTCGACCATTAGGTACAAAAAGATTTAAATCATCACATGAAAGTTATAAGCCTAAAATAAAGCATCAAAGACGATGTAAGAAATATGGAAATGTAGGACATTATCAAAAAAATTGTAAGGTATGTTTAGTATTGTAGATTTGATTAATTGTAATTGATTACTCATGTATTGATTATATTATTTAGGAATAAAGTATAAATGAATAATTAAGATTAGTATTTATATGATTATGTAATAAGAAAGCAAGTAATTGAAATATTAAGTTATAATTAATAAATAAACGATGCTTTTTTTTTGTAATCACGTGATATTTATATATCATGTGATATAATCACGTGATATTGAGGGACTAGCAATATGTCGTCATGACGATATTTTACAAAATTCATAAAATAAATAATATAATATAATAATTTATTTATTTGATTTCATTATTTTTTAAAGATAATAATTACTGATTAATATAGTTCAAATCAGTTAAAAATTAAATAGCTGATTTAAAGCTGATTTTAATACTATTTATGACTAATTGATCATATTTTTTAATTGTCTAAATTATTACTGATTAATGTCAATTAATTTTAATTAGATATAATCATTTAGCATTAATTCAAATTTAAATTTAACTATAAATCAGTCTAAAATACTACTAATTAACTATAATCAAATAAGCAATTTAATATCATTTTAAAACTTAAATAACCATAAATTAGCTTAAAATATCACTGATTAACTCTAATCAGATAAGTAATTTAAAATTTAAATAATCATAAATCAGCCTAAAATACTACTAATTAACTTTAATTAGACAAGCAATTTAGCATTAATTCAAAACTTAAAAAATCATAAATCAGCCTAAAATTAGTCTTAATTTAACATCAATTTGATCAAATAAATATATAAAATTAATATATCTTTATTTAATATTAAAATTTTATTAATAATAAAAATCTATTATAAATTCGCAAAAATATAACAAAAATATTACTAAAATCTATTGATTATTTTCTATTAAAATAGAAAAAATTATACAAAAAAATAATAAAATAATAATAAAGTAATAAAATATAATCTCTAAAATCTTCTAAAATTATCCTAAATATAATATTAATATTATCTAAATATTTAAATAGTGTAAAAATAAATAAATAAAATAATAAAATATATAATAAAAATATATTTTTTTTAAAAATTGCTTAAAAATGTAAAAATAATAAATAAAATAATATAAAAAGAAAAAATTGACTTTGAAATCATTCAAAAAAATAAATAAAATAATAGAAAAATAGAAAAATCAAAATTTTTAAAATTGTTTAAAAAATGTAAAGATAAATAAAATAATAAATGATAAAAATCAACCTTTCTTTTGAAATTACTTAAAAAATATAAAGTTAATAAAAAATTAACTCTTTTTCAACTTAAATTATCTAAAAAATGTAAAATAATAATAAAAAATTAATAATTTTCTACTCAAAATTACTAAAAAATATAAAAATAATAATAAAAAATTAATTATTTTCTACCATAAATTATCTAAAAAATGTAAAGATAATAATAAAAAATTGACTCTTTTTTACTTTAAATTACTCAAAAATATAATAATAAATTATAAAATTAACACTTTTTTTTCAAATCCCCTAAAATTTATTATTCGCTTTCATCTATCATAAAATCTTTTTCATCTTTACTTTTAATAGCAGATGATATTCTCTTTTAACTTTTGTATATTCTTTATTTTCTATCATATATTTTTAATTACAATAATGCTTATTTCAATTTTAGTATTATAAATTATGTCAATTTAAAATTTATATGAATATTTTAAAGTATTAATAGTTGTAATATTATATATCATTATTGTATTTTTATTTTTATTATATTTAAGATGATGATGTAACTCTAAAATTAAATACTTTTCAAAGAAGATATTTTAGCTAAAGAAAGAAAATAAGAAAGAATGTTAATAAAATATACTAATTAAATTTGAAAAATGTTAAGTTAAATAAAGAAATAATAAACCTTAACTGATTATCATAAATAATCATATATAACGATAACAAATTTTGGTGATTTTCTTTATCTATTTTACTAATTTTAAGTGAATAGTATTAATGATTACTGAGTATTCTAAGTAAAGATTATAATCATAATTTATAATTTATTCATTATTTTACTTAAACAAATGTTTTACAACCTTTACTTACTGAATTATTTTCTAATAAATAATAAATAATATTAAATGATTAAAGGATATGTCAGAAATTAGCTAATTTAAAAAAAAGGTAGGAAATTAAATCTTTATATTAGGTGATTATAATCATATAATAATATTAATATAAAATGATTAATCAGTTTAATTTAGCTAAAATATTAATAAAAATCACATGAATATAATTAAAAATCTATCTAATTAAATAAAATTCTAGCCAAATACTTATAAATTAGTAATAAAAATTTAGTCTAATATTAATGATTCTAACTATTCAGCATATAATTAGTATAATTAAAATCTAATCTAATTAGATAAAATTTTTATATTTATAATAATCAGTAAAATTTTGCAATTGTCTTAAGCTTTATAAATATACTGAGTTAGAGGTTTGCAACAGTCTAAATTTAGTATAGAAATTCAATCCAGATCTAGGTTCTAGGCTGAATACAGACTGATAAATATAAGTTTAGAATTTTTTAGGCTGAGTCTAGATTTAAGGTATCAGCTTGGATTTTTTTTTATAATTTTGGTAAAAATCATTATTTAATTAAAATTTAACTATTATTGATTATACAGTCCTCAGTAAAAAGAATGGCAGTGATCTTTTACTATATAATTAACTTTTTTTTGTAAGAATTTGTATAAACAATTGTATAGTATTTTATATGTATTACTAGTCTGAATACTATGTGTATTATTTGAAATCTGCAATGCATATTTTAATATGAATAAATTTTTGTGATTATGAAGTAAGGTCAAACTTGAGTGTTTGATCATTAAAATTAAGATTACAAAATATTTTACTATATTAATAAGCTTTACCTACTAATAAAAAAATGTTTAGCTAAATATTTTATAATATAAATAATATATTCTAACTAAAGAAGTAAAAAATAGAAAGCGTAAAATACTTTTTATATTTTAATTTTTTGAGTTTATAATTTCTTAACCAAAAGCATTTGAGAATAAAAAAAATTTTAAAAGTTATTTATTAAAAACTTTTATTATTCAAAACAAACTTTCCATCATTTTTTTCATTAGAAATTGTATAATAAAATATTTTATTATTGTTAATCAATTTATATTAATTGTAAACAGTAATATTATTTTAGTATTACATAGTACTCTTTATTAATATTTTTATTTATTATAATAATTTGTTAAAAAATTGTAAAAAAAAAAATACATATTGTTATTTTTGTAATTTGTTAAATAAAAATAAAATGATTAAATTATTATATTTCACATTACTAATAATTATAATTAAGTTCAGATCAAGCTAAACTAATATTTTAATATACAAATTTAACTCAAGCTAGATGAAATTAATATTTTAATTTTTGACTTAAAATTTGAATTAGATCAGATTTCAAAATTTAGACTTATATAGATCTTTATACTAAGTGCATTTTATTCAAATTATATTTTATATTATAATACAATAAATATACAAATATATCATAATAATATATAAAGATATTTTAGTATCTAATATTATTTAATTATTACATAAAACTAATATAAAAACTAACTTTTTATTTTTTTTAATCTTCATCTAACTAAACTTCACAAAAATCTTATTTAACTTATCTCATATCTTTGCTTTGAATTATATCTTCAGTAATGTTAAAATTTAAATTGAATAAAATAAGTATACAATTTATTTTTATCTTATTAGTTTATTTTTAAAAGCTTTTTAGTTTCTTATTATGATATTTAAAAGATATATTATATTTATAATTATCTATAAACTTAAAGGTTAAAAAGTATTTATTATATATATTATAATATAAACATTGATGTAATTTTCATGAAATTGAAGAGCAATAATTATTATACTCTGAAATTTTGAGTTTATCATAATATTGAAGAGTATGAATTAGATTGATAAAATGATTATCTTTTTTTTTTTTTATAGTTAAAGAAAGGAATCTATTGTTTATATTCAAAAGGATAGTAACATCTAAAATTCTATATTTATTACAACATTTTTTATTTTTACATTTTCTTATATCTAGTAAATAGCAGCAAAGCTGCATATAATCTTTAATCCACTCTTACAATATTAAAGACTTCAGATTATTGAACAGATATCTTTCCTGATCAACATTGCACTATCACAAGTTTTTTATATATGTCATTCTTTTTCATATATTATGTAATTTTTTCTTTAAATATTCAAAATTCTATTATGTTAATTCATCAACTATTATATTTCTTTGACTATTTAGATATAATCTGAATTCTCTTATAGGTAAATTAATATCAATAAATTTTGTAAACAAAAAAATTATATTGTGTTCAATTAGATTATATTCACTTTGACCTAAAGCATAAATAAAAACTGTCAAGTAGTCTATTTTAAGAATATGAAAAAAGTAAGCATATTTTTCATATGCTTTAGATTTTTATTAGATTAATTATTAATAAGAAGAATCTAAATAGGTCTAACTTTACCTTCTTTTTTTTAGGATAGTAAAAAACTTTTCATTTAAAATAAAACTTTTAAATCTGCTATATAGATCTTTAATAAAATTTTAATGAAATATTCTGACCTAATAAATATAAAAACTAACTAGTACAAAAGATATTACTTGAATTAGCTGAATTAATAACTAGATAAACAGAAGATATAAGTTTTATTTTTGAACTAATTGAAAAATTGTGATCTTTAATAATTACTAGTTTATTACTGACTGAATTATTTTGAATGTAAGACTAATCATAAGAATGTTTAATTTAATTTTTGCCTTATTATTCTAAAAAATAATAATTGATTCATCAGCAAAAACTTTAGCAAATACTTTTATGACTTTGATAGAAGTTAGACAGTAATGTTTATTAATATGAAATTTTATTTTTATCTGTATCACAAAAGTAAGGCTAATATTACTAGATAATAATAATAACATATAACAAAGATGCATTATTTTTAGGATTGAAGATAAAGTTAACAAGCATTAATATGATAGGTAAGTATTATATTTTTCTTCTAAAATTTTACATAGATGTTTTACAGTTTTAATTTTATGATCATTTTTTGATTTGACATGAGCAGTTCAAAACTTAACGCTATTATAATTTTATTTTATAGATTTAAATCTTTTATAGTTGTAAATAATCTTTCTAAATATCATATTTTCTACAATATCCTCTTCTAGCAATTTCTGTTTTTTTGTTACTAGCTTTAATTGGGCTTCAACATGATGTTTTAACTTTGTTAGCTGTGTATTTTATATTGATATATTTTTGTTCTTTATTTATTTTAGATAATAATATATCTTTTATTAAGTTATTTATAGCAATTTCTATTATTTGTTGATATTCAGCTATACTTTTTACAGCTAAATTGATTTTTTCAGTTACAATATGTTGTGATATAGCATTTGGTGGTAATGTTATAATATCAATAAATCTGATTAACTATCTTAAAATATTTGGATTTTTTTAGAGTAAAAGTTTGACAAGAACTGTTAGTCAAATATATGATATAAAAATTTTTTGATGAGAACAAATAGTAGAAAATTAGTAACATAATATTTTCAAATTTTATTCTCAATAAAAGTAGCACTATTTTTTGACTTCTTTTCAAGCTTCTTGCATTATTATTTAACAATTTAACTTATATTTATAAAGTATTGCTAATTTATAATATGCATATATATTATAAAATTCTTAATATTTATTTTGGGATTGTTTATAAAAAAAGTTTTTGCTAAAATTTGATGCTTTCAAAAAACTTTATATATTAGTTTAAAAAAGAATGCAAAGAAAAATATAAGAATATATTTTCACATTTTTCTATGGATTTTTTAAGGATTTTATATACATCACATTGTATTAATCATTACATATAATAATTATTTATATTATGTATTGAGATGATAAATAGATTATGTCTTAATTCTTTTATAATTGATTTAGAATAATAGCAAAAAAGAAATTTATTGATTGAAAGATAAGTTTATTTATTTATTTATTTAATTACTTACTATTTAATTATTCTAATTTAACTATTTTAATTTTCAATTACTTCTGATATTATAGTATTTATATATAATTTTTTAGTCAATCAAATTAATTATCAGGTAAGGGTGAAGGGTTAGCTCTATAATAAAGTAAAATTAGCTGATTTTTATCATATTCTAATTTAAATAAATCTAAATTCAGAATTTATTCTATTTATTAATATTATATACTTAATTATTATTATATATTCATTGCTATTCTAAATGATTCTTTTTGTTTTCTTTATTTTTTGAGCTAATTGATATGACTTATGAAAGGATTTCAGTCAATTTATTAATTAGTCAACAGAAGCTTAATAATTTAGAGCTAAAATCTTTTATAATTATAAAATTAGATTACAATATTTTCTTGCTATAGAAAATTTTATTATAGTCTAAATTGTTTTTGTATCAATGGTTTTCAAAACTACTTTCATTTTAGCCTAAATATAAGAATAAAAAAAACAAAATCAACTAAAATTTAAAATATTTAAATATAAATTTAAATATATTCTAGCTCTTTTTACTAGAGTTTTAGATAAATCAAATTAATTCATAAATCAGATAAGCTGAATCAAGTTTAAATCAAATTGAGTTTATATTTTTTTGACTTGATAATTTGTAAGTTATGTTAAATTTGAGTTAAGTTAAATATTTAACTCAATTAGATTTAAACTTAAATTTAACTCAACTTGATTTAAGTTGACTTGAACTATATTATTAATAAATTAATATTTTTAAACTTAATATTATTAATATATAAATAATAAATTAATATAATAAATTTAATATTTTTATTTATTTTAAATGGTTATTTTGTTAATAAAATCTATTTAAAAATAAAAAATTATTATAAAATAATTATAAAATTAACTAATAAACCTAATATTTTTAATACTTACTTCTTTTTTTTTTAGCAATTTTTTCAATTAAATGTAATTATGTTTTATAAAGTTAAAGAAGATTTATTTTTTTTAATTCTAATTAATTGAATAGTAATAATGTTCAATTTTTTTAAAAAAATTGTTTTAAAAAAAATAAATATAAATTTACAGCTTTATCTTATTATAAATTATATTAAGAAAAAAAAAATTAATAATTCTTATTAAATTAATATTGCAACAGCCTAAAATTTTAAAAAAAAAATTAATAATCTAAACATCCTTAACAATATCATGGTAATCTGAAAATTTAAATAATTATCAAAAAAATTTAAGGTTTAAAAATAAATAAATTGGTTTATTTAAAATTAATCAATTGATTTATTTTTTTTTTTTTTCCTTTCAATTAATTCTTTTTTTATATTATGATTGATTTTTTTATTATAATTTTTTTATCCCTCCTAAACTTATTATTTTATTTTTAGAATTTATTTTTCTTTAATCAGTTTATTTTTTTTTATTTTTTTACTTTTTTTTATTATTT